GTGAGACAACACCCACAGCAGAAACGGTTTTACAGGTGGACACCACTGACATTTTTTCCCTCCTCGTCTTTTCTGTTTTTTCAATAGTTTTTAATTTAGCATGTTCAGTATCACTGCTGGTAGCATAAGGTGATACCAGGACCCTACAGCAGGTCCTACAGAGCCCTGCAAGAAGACCTCTGACCTCTTGTTTTCTCCCTGCTTACCCAGCTCTTAATGAAGGAGCTGCAGCAATCCCAGATGCAAGTCAAAGAAACCAATGCACTGGCCAACAAACTACTGACGCTATATGGCAACGATGACACTCACAAAGTCACCCAGATCAACAACAACATGGAGGCTGCCTGCATATACATCAACAAACGGTCAGCATTTTAATATTTTTATTAAAAAATAAACATTTAGGCGGCTATGTTGGTGTTTGACTTAATGAATGTCTCTAAACGGTGCTGTTCTTACGCTTTCAGCCTTGGTTTCCATGGAAATAATAAGTGCACTTTAGTGCAACTACCCCGTCAAAACACCACAATGACTATTTCACCTTTTTGCAAAACGTGTTTAGTCAGGAAGTAATCGTGATGTGATTTCATGGCACATGTTTAGTTTTCCACATGACAGACGAGCATGATAAAAAGAGCATTTGCATTATCTAACAAGAAAGCTTTTAAAGCTATTCAGCCATCATGGACGTCTGGATATTACGTCTATCACATCTTTAGTCTTGTTTACTGACCTCTGCTACATTACATTTGGAATAGAACTGACCCTAAAAATGAAAACCACCCACTCTCTGGGCAGTATTTACTTATTTTTCTTATTTATTCCCGATCTGCTAAGTGTTGTATTTTCTATATATTTATTCTGTTATTCTTTTTAAATGTACTTTAAATTTGCAGTTCAGTAATAACAAATGCAGAGTGCAGCATTTTGTTATTTACCCTGTTGAAACTATTTAAATATTCTTAAAATGACATAAATGAATACATTTTGTTTTACAAAAAGAAACAGTTTCCCCTCTCACCCAGACTCGGGTCCTCTACCAGAGGCCTGGGAGCGTGAGGGTCCTGCTCAGTGTCATTAGCTGTTCCCAGGACTGCGCTCTTCTGGACAGAGATCTCCGATGTTGTTCCCGGGATCCACTCACCTAGCTTTGGAGTCACTGCACCTAGTGCTCCCTTCCTTCCCCTTAGCGTACAGCCTCAGGGTGCTGGACTTGGGGTGAAATGCATGACAAGGAGATACATTTTAAATATATTTAAGTACTTTGTATATGTTTTATAAGACTTTTATATCAATTTTCGACCCATAAATCATGAAGTTGATCCTGAAGACCTCGGTGGATTTAAGCCAAATTTATTGAATTGTTAACACAACGTCACTGTACAGATATCAAACATGCAAAGTTTTATCAGAATTGATATTAAACTTTGAGCCATTGTGTTTACAGACAGAATGACGAGTGTGCAAAACGAATCTGTTGTTTCTTTAACTGTTTTGAGGAAATAACTTTTATTTACCACCTTTGTTTCTTGTC